AAAAAAAAAAAAGGGCGGGGGGGCGGGAAACAATGTCTAACTGATCCGGAGAGATTGTGTAAAGGTGCTGATATATAACAGTCCACCCCTAAGGTTAGCATACATTGAGAACTGGTCCCTGTGTAAGCATACTTTTGTAGGATGACAGAATCCTTCATGCTGGTTATTCGGCCAAGATGCAGAGCCTGGTAAATGATCTACTGGCTTAAGGTATTAATTCTCTTAAACTTGTCGATAGTTGAAACGTGAGCAGAGAACTTAGATGTGGAACGGAGATCTTAAGCTCATCAGAGGTGATGTCTGCATGTGGCTGTCTAACGTGCACAGGAAGGAGGCAATGAGTTGCTTGGACTGAGAGAAGGTTGGTCAGTGGAACTTGTTTAAGTGAACTGAGATGACCAAATTTTAAAACTTGGTCTGGGTGCAGTCAAACTGATAATGTCTCAGGCTTGCCATTTCCACTCTGAATTTGTTTTAGTTTTACGTGGTTGTGACATGGAAATTGCTTGAAATGAGGACACTTAGGCACTATTGTGGAATTTAATTTCACACATTATAGATCCTGAAATTTATTGTAATCCCAACTCAGAACTACTGTTCCAAGTCAATGTAATGATCTGCTGCTTGAATCTAATTAGGATCATGTGACTTACATGCAATGTTTCTGTCCCTGGAAGGGTCCACATCTCTTCATTTGGGAATAATTGAATAAGCCTTTACCTTTTGAAAGAAAAAGCAAGCATGTGACTTCTGTAAAAACAAAAAAATACCCCACAAAAAAATCCAAAATTATTTCTGGTGTCATCTTATGTATCTGGTAGCTATTGCAAGCTATTTACCTTCCAGCATTGCTCTCAGTCAAGTAGATGCTAACTTTGTTTTTCCTTGTCTCATGTTCTGTAGCAATATATTAAAAACAAAATGCAGACGACATGTGTTACTTGACTTGGCCTAGTTTCGTAGTTAAGCTGCATTGTGAAACAGCCTGCAATCTATAAATAGCTCATTAGTCTGTAAAGTTGTAACTTAAATTATTTACCTGTGATGTCAAAACAAGACATACTCTGCTTAGAAATGTTTGCTTCATGTGATAACAATCATTTTGATATGGAGGCATTTCTCTATAGAAAACTGTTCTTCTTCATTTTCACTGAAGTAAATTATCCTTGATGGTGAATTTGTTTTTTTTTTTTTTTAGCTACTGTTGTACCTCAAATCCTCAAATCTGAAAGCCATTTCCAATTTTCTTCTAACAAAGAATTTAAAAAGTAAATTTGGTTGAAACTTGCCTATTAGATCTGTAACCTTTTTCTTGTCTGATCTACGAGTAGAGATCAAAACTCTAGCATTAGTTGTAACCTATTCAAAAAAAAGGATCGCTAAATATTGACGATGGTTTATATTTAGTGTCTGAAAAGTAGTAATTTCAATGAATATTCACATTTCGAAGTGCTGCTATCAGTCATTCATGCTTCAACATGTTTACACCTCTAAAACTTCCATATCAAGTTGATGGGATGAAACAAGCAGTAGTCAAGAAGCAGGTTAGCTGCAAAAGTGGACTGAGATGGAAATGTCACGTGGGCCAAGTGGGTGGAAACTGCAGCTGGTAATTCAAACGTAGCTTTAAGAATTACTTTAATAAATGTAACAGCAGTACTAAACCCAGTTGTGTTAGTAAGAAAAATGCAAAGTTTGCATGTGTCTGTTCTTCCTTTGTGGCCAAATGCAGGTGTCACTATCATTCAAGTAATTTAGCAGTTCTTCTCGAATTAGCTGTTCAATGTTCATTCTAAATCCTCTTCTTTCCTGCAGAAAGGAAGATATTCTATTCCAAAGTGGCTCTCTCCTAGCAGTACTCTACTACTTGACCAAATGCTGCAGGTAAAGGTATTGCTTCTCTTCAATAGGTCTGTGAAGTACAACTGCAAAGGTCAAAACACAACCTTGATGAAATGCTTAAAGCCAGGAAGCTTAATTCTTACAAATTTTTGAAGAAAAGATTAATATTGCCTTCTGCTGAAAATTCTTTAAGAATGTTTGGGTATAGGAATAATTAAGCAAAGCTTAAATGATTAAACAAAGTCTTCGAGCAGCCGGTGTGGTGGTTCTTAACTGCTATATAAATAAGAGCTTTTTTTATAAATGAAGCTGAACATGCTGAATATGCATTTTGGCTACATCTAACCGATGCTAAATATTCCTGGAACAGTTATTACAACTGTAGGTTGTGTAACTGCTCTTAACAGCTCACGTGTTTGACCTTCCTTCTGGTGAAGCTGTGAAACAGTATTGGTTGCCATCTGAGCTTCTAACCACCCTAAAAGTCTGAGTAGAAGACAAGCAGTTTATCCGGTTCTTCCCAATGATTTAAGTCTCAGCTTAATTTTTATTGCCCACTAGGTGGACCCAAAGAAGCGGATTACAGTTAAACATCTATTAACTCACCCTTGGCTCATGCAAGGTTATTCTGATGCTGTTCAGTGGCAAAGTAAATGCACGGTAAGTACACTTGTCAGATGAATAATAAAGTATTTAGTATGATCTCGCTGGTTTGCTACTACCCTCACAGTATGAGAGTGTGAAGATGTTTCTCCTGAGATGAGCTCTGAGATGATCATGATTCTTTTTGGATCTTCTTGCTTTCAATGTTACTGCTTTCTCCCAATTTCTCTCGAGGAGGAATTTCAAATGTGTTTTCACTGTATTCTGCAGCTGATACTTTGTTTGGAAAATAGCAGATTTCTCATTAAAATGTGAAGTATTTCCACATGTGAATGACCAGTTGATTCTCTGGGCTGCTTGGTCAATACTTTAATAAAGGTGCAAAGTGCAAATGTTCTGGAGAGTGTTAGACATGGTTATGGCTTATCTTGTATCGAGTCCTCACTGGAAACAGATAGTTGGAATAAAACTTTGACCTCATTGGATGTATGTTTGTCCTGGCACTATCTTGTTTTACTTGTGTGAGAGGCTAAGGTAGTATGGAGAGGGGGGAAAAAAAAAATCAAGCTGTCAGTAGTAATTCCTGAGCAGGCTGGCAGCCAGTGCTTCCCGTTAGCCAGTGGGTGCCACTGTTTTGCTAGATAAAAACCAGATTTTCTGTGCTTGTAGCACCTGTTCTAAGTGGCTCTAGAAAAGATGTGCATTTCTGATAGCTTTGAATATTTATGGAGAGATGAAAGTGTACTTTCCATTCTAGTAAAAATCTCATCTGCTGTCAGGCTTTCTTATTTGAATTCACAACCTCTCACCAAGGAGGGGCCAGGCTGTGAAGTTGCTGGAGTTGCAGGACTTTTTCAGTCTGTTCCCTGCAATATTTAGCCATGATAATAACTATTTAAAATACAAGGTCTAAAATCATGGTTGGTCACAGACTCAGCCTGCTGGGTTTCATGACTGTCACAGTCAGATATGGTTTGAGACAACTCAAAAGCCTCACGCTTCAATGTCTGTCATGTTCTTGCAGCTGGGACACCTCGATGAAGACTGCATAACAGAGCTTTCTGTGTTTTATAAACAGAGCAAGGAGACTATATTGGAACTAATATCAGAGGTAAGAAGTATCAGTAATTTACAGTAATTTACTGTATTACTGTGTTTAATCTTACTGTATTAACAGACTAATGCTCACTTATTGTCTAGTATTAAATTATTAATACCTTTCAGATTTAAGGAGCCCCTGCAGAACCCCAAAATCTAACTGTACTTTATAACTACTGTTGTGAAGTTCAGATTTAATTTTCTCCTCTTCCTTCTTTGATTGTGCTTGTGATGTCTCCTAAACCTTACTGTTATTTCCCACCATGGTAAAATCTTTCCAAATCTCTTCAACTCACAATAGAGTTAACAGAAATTTTATAGTTGAACAACAGATGCTCTTTGGGTTGACTCTTTGCTCTCAAATGGTTCAGTAAGTAAGAAGAAGAGTAAGAGTAGAATATCAGAGCATCTCCCAAACAGACTATAAAATATACTTTTTGCAGTTACTATTCAAAGTTTTTTAAAAAGTGACTACATTTGGTCACTTTTGAATACAAAGAGCAAAAGTTGAATTGACTACTTCTAGAATTGTACAAATGTTAGCAATGACATTGCAAGCTGTAGAGGAGACTTAAAACATGATGTGTACTCCAGCTTTAACCTGAACATGAAGATTCTCCTTTCAAATTGAATTTTTTGCTTCCTTTTACATGGTAGCAGCGACAGTTCTTTGCTTTGGAAAAACTGTCAGGTTCTTTACGTGATTGTAGTAGAAACAGACTTTTAAAATGTGCGTGATACTTAAGATGGATTTGTGGAGTTAATGCTCCTTGTTATTCAGTTATAGGAAATAATCTGAATAATCTGTCTACACAGGGGAAGAGCCCTTCCAAATAGGTTTGTGGCATTTGCATAGTCCTTCAGTGGAGAACTTCTAATCCCTTATAACTAGTGCAAACTAATTGTACTATGCTGCAAACTTGTCAAGAATTGTACCCATGTTCCTCACACAAGGAGAATTGCTGAAAATCATGCGGAAAAAAAATTGGTGCCGCTTGTGGGGGAAGAATGGGGGGACTTGCAAAAAAATTGAGACTGGTTGAAATATCAGCCAGACTGAATTAATGGCTTTGCCAGTCACCTCAGTAGGTAGATTCTGCCTTCTGTGTTTGTGCTCACACTCGTGAGCGTACTGCAGACTACCTTGGAAAGAACAACCACCATAGTCTGTTTCTTGATCTCAAACACATAATGTGAGTCAGCTGAGGACTGGAATTACACTTGAGTGACCAAACATTAGGGGTGCACATCAGGTAGAAAAGGTTGTAGAAACACAGAAATTTTCTGAAGGCTGAGCTTGCTTTGGACTTACAAGATTTCTAAAGAGGAGACTAAAATACTTTTTTTTTTATTTCATAGTGGAAGTATGACCAGATGTCAGCAACATATCTCTTGCTTCAATCCAGGAAGGCTCGTGGCAAGTGTGTTCGCTTAAGGGTTCCAGGTCCGACAGGACATGTCAGCACAAAGCAATCAGCTGGCCTCAAGGTAGGTTTCTGAACTCAGCAGGACAAAATACTGATTAAAATGCTGCTCTGCGTTAACAGAGCCCTACCAGGGAACACAGACTGGTGCCCTGAACATCAGTAAGATGACACGTGTGCAGTCAGCCAAAGTCTTCATCATTAAACAGTTCAGTCTCCTCATGAACACGTTTTAGCAAGCTGGGCTGCTTCTGTGAACTGGTGTTACTGGAATAACTGTTGGGAGGACATGGTGCACCATGAGTACTGCACAGAATCTCCCATTGGCTGCTCACAGAAATGGGCTAAAATTGCCCATTGTCTGGCCTGTGTGATCACTCCAGGTTTTGCTCTGTGGTGCCTGAGTCACTGCACTCTTTCGTGGTGCCCCTGAACACTTTAGTACCTCGCAAGTTGCATGTAACATTGTAAGGCCATTGAATACTCGAGCGTGGCCAGAGAAGGGCAACGGAGCTGGGGCAGGGTCTGGAGCACAGCTCTGCTGGGGAGCGGCTGGGGGAACTGGGGGGGTTCAGTCTGGAGCAGAGGAGGCTGAGGGGAGACCTCCTGGCCCTCGGCAACTCCCTGCCAGGAGGGGGCAGAGAGGGGGGATGAGTCTCTGGAGCCAAGGCCCCAGCGCCAGGCCCCGAGGGAATGGCCTCAAGCTGCCCAGGGCAGGGTCAGGCTGGCTCTGAGGAAGGATTTCTGTGCAGAAGGGGCTGTTGGGCGTTGGAATGGGCTGCCCAGGGCAGGGGGGAGTCCCCGGGATCCCTGGGGGGGTTGAAGAGTCGGGCTGAGCCAGCGCTGAGGGGTCTGGGGGAGTTGGGAAGGGTCAGGGGGGGGTCATGGCTGGGCTGGAGGAGCTGCAGGGGCTTTTCCAACCTGGATGATTCTGGGATTCTGTAGCATGACTTAGTAAGGGAAGTCTTCTGAAACATCCTGTCATGTCATCTTGGTGTCCTGGTTCGAGGAGAGATGGGCGCTTCATGAGTCAGTCATTCCTTCCTCATATCTTTCCTTTTAGAACACAATCCCAGAGAGTATTCTGTGTATTTAGAGTAAAGGTAACATGGTGCTGATGTTTTTCTGATTAATTGGATTTGCAAGTAGTTTTGCATATCTTATGGTGTTTTCTGTTCCTGTGGTTTGGTAGCAAAGTACAAATAGAGCACTTCTGAACTTGTCTGAAGTTGCCAAACTGCATTATCATATATAACATACAGTGATGTCAGAGGTACTAGTTTGTGTTTGATAAACTCAAAAGCATTCAGGAAAATTTCAGACTTCCTTACTAGCCATTCCCCCTCCAACTGTAGATATCCATATGAAATAGCTAACTAGCTGTGTGGATGTGCTATTCTCTGCACAGAGACAAGCACTTGGAATAAATACTTGCTGGTGTATCTGATTCAGCTGCATGTAAATCACTTCAGTTCATTCATACAACTACTCTAAAACGCAGGTGTGAATTCTAAGATTGCCAGTGCTGCATAACAGGTCATGAATCATAGGTGTAGGTGAATGTGATTTCCATGGTCATGGTGGGTCAGTCTTCTACGCTCAGATGACTTTGAGGTGGAGGTTCTCTGGTTTTAGTAGTGCCGGGGCTGTGAAGTTAATTCATCTCCGGAGGTGTCCTGGGTAAATTGGTCTGTCTGATGCTACTCTTTAACACATTATGCCTTCGCAGGTGACTGAAAATCATGTCTACACAACACAACGATTCATTAGTCCCTCTGCAGTGCTCAGGACACATTTAAGTTACCTGCATGTAGACACTGAGTGAATACCAACTGAATTTGCTGAAATATCCTTTGCTTTAGCAAAGTTTTCTAGCTAGAGCTGGTCTAACCTGAAGACACCCAAGCAAACAGAACATTTAACTCAGCCAGTCTCTGAATTTGGTGGCACAAGCTTGTACATAATACTGTCTTATTTCAAGCAGCTTAAGGATATTCCAAAAAATTCACCATGGCATGGATTTCTGGAACGTGGTAGCCAAAGAATCCTGTTCAGGCATTCATACTGGAATGTGATTTCAGCTGCAGTATCAGGCTGTTAGATTCTGGCTGTGGCCAGCAGCCCGCTGGTAAGCGTGTTAGTAAGGCATCGTAGTAGGTCTGGTGATGTACCAGAAAGCTCCATTTCTGTTGCAGTAGTAATGAGAAATCTGATCATGGAAATACCCTTGGTCACAGGCCAAGGGAAGCTTACCTGCCAGCAGAACACAGGTTCCTAAAACAGCACCCATTCCAGCTGAGGACCAATAGCTTAAAATAACTATGCACTTTCACTGAAGTGGTGCAAAACAAGTCCTTGGGAAAAATTTCCTGAAAATGACAAAAGGCGTTGAACTTGGGATGCTGTGATATACCTCTGATTGTGTGTGGTGTGAGCCATGAAGGTTACCTGAAGTTATGAATCTTGTGACTTAATAAATGACAACTTTGTTGGGCTAGCAGTCAGATGAAGGGTTCTGAGTACTAGTTCAAGTACTGTTACAGATTCTGTAACTGTGTGTTGTATGTAATGTGTTTACCTTTACCCAGCCCCCTTTCAGACTTTACTGCATTATTTTCTCAGGTTTTTTAGCTTATGGTTTGGCTTTTGGTAAAAAGAGCTTGTGCTTCAAGTCTTGAAATCAAAGGCAGGCATTTTTTGTAAGATGCTTCTCTTTTTGACACAGGTCATGAAAAATGACTCGGTAATGCTGCTTTGAGAATAATTTCACATCTGTGTTTGATACAAAGGGCAAATCCACAATGATATTAGTCATGTTATAAAACTTAGGTCACCAGCATGGGAACTTCCATTAGCTGTTAACCATAATTAGCAACGTAGAATGAAATAAGATTTAGATTTTAATGACACTTTTCTCACTATATCTTCCTTTTAATCGTGCAGTGGAATCCCAACTGAATCTTTCTTTTCAGTCTGAAAAAACTATGATGCATGAAGATGTGCCACACTGCGGTGAAGTGCCATACGTGTCGGGATCTGTGGAATTTTCTGGTGCAGCTTCACTCTTGGAAGAATCTCCATTCAGAGATTTTGCTCTAAATACTCACAGAACAAAGGTGTTTGAAAAATAAATACTAGTTCCTTAAAAAAAAATATGCTATTCTTAATCAAAAAATTTTTTTCTCATTTTACACAAAATTTGTTCCATATTTAAATGTTCAGTGGATCCTGGCTTAGGGGAGTTAGTCTCACTAAAGAAATGTTTTAAATGTATAGCTGAATATAAATTGTGGCTTCCTCTAGCTGTAGGTCGTGATTCATTTGATGAGAACTTGAGCTTTGACATTTGATTTGCATAAAAACAGCATCTAGGGAATGGGTAAATGAGGCAATGAGGAGTCTAGAACTGATGGGAAAACAGTATGGTACAGCAGACAAGATCTCAGAGCTAGGCTGGGGCTGGACAAGTTTTTGAAGAAGTTCAGCCTGTCTGTATTGGACAAGAAAATCCAGTGAGGCAATTAAAATGATACAATTAAACCAAATGAAAAATCTTAGCTGAATTTAGGTGAGCTGGTGAGGAGGAGTAGTCTTAAATGTACAAGCTGAAGAATTTAGAAGAGCAGATAAAGAAATGGCAAATGACTTGAGGTGTTTATTAGCAAGTTATGGAGGGAATCAGAAGTATAGAAGAGTTTAACCATTTTGTTCAAAAAGCAAGCACTGTATGGTGTTTCTTAACCTGCTTCCATTTTAGAATTTCCTTGTCTGTATCGTTCCTGAATGTGATCAGAATACAGCAAAGGATGTCTCTGTTTTTTTGTTACATCTCTTGTAGCATTCAAGGCATGATGCTCAACTGGATGATACAGAATTCACACTGTCAACTCCAGTGACAAGAGAAGTGGCACCAAAGAAGCATGAAAACAAAGAGAATGCTGATACAGCGTCAGCTTTAAGAAATGAAATGCCCTTTGCGCTTTCCACACCAAAGACTCCTTTCGTGAGGAGTCGGGTTGAGAGTGAAGAACAAACCAAACCCTCTCATGCACCTGCCTCCAGAGGTATGTAACTAATCAAAACTTTGCACCTATACGTTGCTTAGGGATTATTGTAAATCCATTATGAACACACAACTATTTTTTTTTTGCCATAGTCCCCAGCCTGGTGGTTCTGGTACCTCTGCTAAGGTGCTGCAAGGCGTTTAGGCATCCCTCAGGGCATGTCACTTGTCTGTCAATTACAGAAGCTGTTGCTGCCTCCAGAATCACGGGGCATGCCTCTTGGCACACTCCGACATGGAGACAAGTGTTAGTGTTCCTAAAACTTGGTTCCACTTTTCCCTGAAGGCTGAGAACAGGATTTCCTCAACACTGGTTTTCTATTTGTAATTACCTTGAGCGAAAGTAAAGGTATACTTTTAGTCAAGTCTGCTTTTATTGATTCTAAGAAATCTAACTTTTGGATTTCTCATGGTAGTGTATCAGCATTTTCACAGTAACAGTCCAGTGTGGCAGTGAAAATACTTCTGTTACCAGTGTGTAGATCTTAGTCACGTGATAGACCACAGAAATCTGTCTAAACCATGTCAGCTTTTCTGAGTTACCAGAAATTTATCTCCTCAGCCTATCTAGTCTGTTCTGATGAAAAATGATGGCTCCTGTATGTATGTTATCATTCCCTTCAACCATTAACATAAAAGTTTTGGTGTTGATACTGTAAATGCTAACTTGGTCCTTCAAATGCCAAGGGCTCCTTACAATAGAAAACTTTTCTGTTCAGATGCTAAGGAACATTGTTCAGAAACAGTCTTTGCAGGGCGATTCAAGTTACAAGGGACCTTGAACATGCTGCTGTGCAATGACACCCTCAGTAAAGTGTTTAAGGAAGTGCACTACAAAGACTAGCAATTGTTTATGTAAGTTTGATTTTTGCCTTGAGACTGATGTGGTAACTTATGAAGTTTGGCACAGATTTAAAAAAGAAAAGCAGGTACTCCTTCTGAAATGGGAAGGTGCTTATTTCGGCTCACTTCAGTGAGATTTGAGGCTTGAACAACCAAAAGCTAATTCTTCGTTTCACTGAAATATCTTTGATTCAGGAGAGGGAGTATTACTACTTTCTTAACAGCAGAAAAGTGGAAGTATCCACTGGAAATCTTGATCAGAATTGCACCTGGCCCTAGATGATGATGTCGAGAGCTGAAACCTTGTACGCTGAAGCTGGGTTTAATTATAACTACTCATTTGACTGTTTCACTCTGTTTGCTTCTGCATGTTCAAAACCATGCTCTGTGGAACCCCGTCAGCACGTGGGTAGTACAGCTTCATAGGCTGTTACGTGGTGTGTGTTAAGGGAAACGGCTTGTTGAAGAACACAACTATTGACACACCGAATTGCTCAGTTTTATTCTGGAACCAAAATAAGAGCCAGAAAGCAATTCTAATCCTCTTTCTTTCCAAATTTCTAACCCTGAACTGCATTGGTCGCTCTAAGGCTTGACTTGTAGAGCCCTGGGGAAATCAGTTGCAGTTTTCTTTGCAGAGTAGGGTAGAATTGTTGTTATATCAAAAACATATTTTACCATTCTGAAGATACAGACATGAGATGGAAAAGGGGGCTGGTTTTAGAAATGTTAATTATGAGAAATCCTTGCTGAAGAAAAGTAAATTCTTTATGCAAAAACATACCTACTTTGGCATGGATGCTTTCTTTCAGAGAGCCGGTTCACTACAGTTACCCCAATTAAGAAACGCAGAAACCCAACAAACATAGATGAATTGAGAGCAGCTGAGATTCTTCCAGAAACAAGGTAAATGTCCAGTTATTTGTGTACACTCCTTATTTAGATCAGGACTACCTTAATCCCTGTGCTGCCTAGGAAGCCTTGTTACAACAGCAAACTGTGATTTCTTCTCTCTTGGTAAAAACCTGTCTGAAGCCTCCTTCTGTATTCACTAGGAAATACTGGAGGCAGAGAAAAGTTTTAAAACTATATAACACAGTTATCTTCTGAATATACATTCCTGTGGTCCATAATATAAGTTCCTTCTCATTTGAGTTTCCCAGAGGGCTGCAGTTTCTATATACATCTCTGGGTTTAAATCTCAACCAACTGTCAAACAGAAATTCTCATAGTACGCTGCACTTGCTTTGGTTTCCTTCATTCTGGCAGGTCTGGTAATATTTCATACCTGAATTAACGAATTTCTAAACACTGAGGAAAAAAAACTGATTAATTTGTGTAACAGGTGTCATTCACCAGAGTTAGATATCAACGTAGCCCATGTGCATAGCATCCACAAGACGAGAAAAGCCAAAATATTCGGAGGTCTTGAAAGAGGCCTAGACAAAGTGATCACAATGCTTACGCCGAATAAAAGGAAACGGTTCTCAAGATATTGCCCAAGGAAACTTAAGGTATGGCTGTTGGAAAAACCTTACAGGAAAAACAAAGTGTAATTATAGAAAACATCTAATGGCTTTAGAAATGGTCTTGTGGGAACTTCTGTGATCTGATTTGCCTGCGTTCTGCAGTGAAGTGCAGTTTCTCTTGTGGCATCTCTCAATATGACAATGTCCCAGTTACCACCAAGAGATGTCATTTTAATCTGGGCTCAGGCAAGTCACCAACAGATCAAGGGAGGAGTTTGGCCATTGCTTTTTATATCCCATCTAAACCAAATGTGAGGGAAGCAGAATGGTTTTAAAGGAACCCTAGGTGAAAACTTTTAATCATGTAATATGTATAGAGATACTACTAGCTCTCCCACTTTAAAAAAAAAAAAAAAAAAAACAACATTCCTGGATTAGATTGCTGTGCTATGTCTGTTCCAAGGTAGTCTATAGATGTCAAGAAAATGTGAGGTTAAACTTAAAGCCTAAACAGCTACACCTTATGGAAGAATTTCTGACACTGTCAGCATAATTCTGATTTTTAAAGTTTTGATGTCACTGCGCCTGAACCAGCTGGCTGATTATTCTTTAAGTGGCCATAAGAAGTAGTAGTTCCTCATTGCATTAAAATTACATTAATAAATTATATCTACCAGAGCTGACTCATGAGGTTGATATTAGCTTTGTGGAGTACACATCAAATGGAGCTGGTGTAATACCAGTGCACTGAGCAGAGTTCCGTCTGTTGCTCCAAAGCAACTAATGGACTTCAGAAGTTACTCGAGGGGTAGCTTACACTTGAGTGTGTAGACAATGTTTGAAAAACGTGATTTTGGTGAAGGAGGGAAGGCTGTTATTGGGGTGTAAACAGCTCCATAGAGGTGAAGCTTCCAGGTGCTGCCGCTGTTCGGACAGCTGCTGTGCAGGGAGTGCTGCCTGTCGGTGAAAGCGCCACTCTGTGCTTTGCAGCCCGTGTAAATGGGACCAGCAGCTGTATTCCAGTTGGAAGCTGCTCCCAGAGGCACTGGTCAGGGGTGAGGTGGCAGTTGTACAAGTTCAGGGTGTGGTTGGGGCACAAACCCGAGTGACTTACTGTACAGGAGCCCAGACTGCAAATAATTCACAGTGATTGGAAAGAAAACCTTGATCTTCTGTCTCCAAAAGCTTTTATCCTTCTGCAGCAGCTTCCCTGGTCTGTAGCACATGCAAAATGACTGACACATGTCAAGGGACGCTGGGGTACACCAGGGGAAGGTAGAACTCTATTTCACAGGGCTGCAGCAGTTACGGCAGGGAGTTGCATACGTTTTAAATTAAGAGCTGTAAGAGACAGTCTTTTACTCTGACTTTGCATCCTTGACAGATGTTCATTGCTCAAGCTATTTTTATGACCTTGTCTTCTCTCATCTGTTTCTGTGACTTCAGAGAGCATTTGTGGCATATCACAGCTGGCACACACCTTTCTCTTGTTACATACGGGTGTCTGAAAGCTGCTCCAGAAGTCACGTATTGGACAAGTCTGCAATATGAAGTATTAGATGTAAACCCCATATAACAGTAAACCTAGGAGTAGTAAGTTACCTCTTCTCTTCAAACATGGTCCTAGAGAAGCCATGCCTGCTCCCTGACACTGGTGTGCTCAGCCTCAGCTAGGCAACGCGCTGCTGACCTCTGCAGAACCCGCCTCTGTCTGCACCAGAGCTCCGATAGCCCCTGTGCTGCCCTGCCTGTCACTGCTACTCCACATTTTATGATGGGTTATAGCTCGGACATGCTTTGATATTAATTGTCCAGCGGTTCTTTAGTGTTCCTGTTGCCACTACTGGTAATATTGGGAAGCTGAAGCATTTTTCCCTATGGTTGGCTGTCCCAAAGCTTTCTTTATGAAGACTTCTTGTAGTGTATTCAGTTTTAGGAGAAAGATGGTTTTTTAATGACATTTTTTGATAACTACTTTTAGGAACACTGTAATGTTACTGCCACTAAGCTCCTGAATCCAGACCAAGTGTTAGATGAATTGATCAGTGTTCTTTCAGAGAAGCATGTGGAATTCGTTCAGAAGGGGTAAGTGTAAAGTATGACTTCAACTTGTATTTGTCTAAAAAAATCAGTACTCCAATCCTTGCTAAAGTGAAGCTTTCAAACTTACTTTCTCAGCCCCACATTGTAAAATACAGTAACTGTATAGAAAGTGTGCAGAGCACAACGTGAATGTGTGCAATAACACTTGTCCGCACAATGCAGAACAATGTTAGGTGAGCTCTAATAAGTAGAGCTCTTTGACAGATATGAACCAATATCAGTGAGGTAGCTCTCAGAGGCTGATGTGAATTTTGTCCATCTCTTGTAAACACAAAAGGTGTGTTAGGGTACAGTCACATGGCCAAATCGGGCAGTTTTGGAAGATCATGAGGGAAAAACCCTCATTCTTGGCAGTTAGACATTAGCATTTAGCCAAGAGATCAGTATGTTTTAAAAGCTTCTCAGAATACACACACCTCTGTGTAGATTGTTTTAATTTATAGGATTTGCTTTTAATTTGTAGGATTTACTTTTGGTACCTTAGTCCAGTTAGTAGGATTGGTTCCTAGTTCTGATCAAAGCTTAATGTCTGTTTCCTAGTTCCCCAATGCACAAAGAGAAATGTGTTCACTTATGAATACACATTTTCTAAAGTTGTTGAATATTTAAATGATGGGCATTGTAGGACGTCAGGTTACACTTCAACCTCTGATGCATTTCTGAGCTCAGAATCTGGAAGGATACTGAATTGCACAGAAGTACCTTCTCCCATTGTAATGATTTAAACCTTCCATTCAGTTTTTCCACTTTTCACACCAGCTGAGCTGTAACCAGCCTCTCGGCAGTGGTGTCTTGTCGAGGAGAAATGTGGTAACATCTCCATCATTCCAGCTCTGCACCCTGAGAACGGGGGTCCGTGGCTAGCAGTGGTTCCTATGGCTGGGTAGGATGTTGGCACTTGAGCATAATGATAGTGCTCTGGGACTAAAGTATTCAAGGCTCTCAGTTTGCTAAATTCTAGGTTGTTTTGCAGTATTCTGGGTCGCAGTGGGATAATTTCTGTGAAGTGCTTTTACTAATTCAAAACTGCATCACAAAACAAACATTAAACAGTTCAATGACTATTCCGTTTCTCTGCTTTGTACAGTTATGCCCTGAAGTGTCAAACACGGTTGAATTTTGGCAAAGTAACCGTGGAGTTTGAGTTAGAAGTGTGTCGGATCGGTAAATCTGAAGTGGTGGGTATCCGGCGACAGCGGCTTAAAGGTGATGCCTGGGTCTACAAGACACTGATGGAAGACATCTTATCGAGCTGCCAGGTGTGACTGGCTGATGCACTGCTGAGAAAGCAGCATTGTGCTGAGGCCTTAATCATCACGTTTTGGAAGGGTCTGTTCAGAAAAGTAATTCTGTGTCACATTCACAGCTGTGTTTGAAAAATCTGTCAGCTTTCTTGGGAGTTTTAATCACTCCTCTTTGTACATGTGCCTCTTGTTTCCTTGTTTTCATGTGTCTCCTTTAGCAAGCTTGTAATAAATGTTCTGCCACTACAGCTCTTCTGAAATGGAATTCTGTAAGCTGTTCCCTCTCTTGCATATTTTTCATGTAGGCGGGTTAAAAAAAGTATTAGTGTTTGTATGCTGAAGCTTATTTTGGTATGTCTTCAGTTATCAAGTACATTTGGTACAGAAATAGTCATTTGCATAATTCTCTTCTTGTCTCTGCTTAAGTAGGATTTATTGAGATCATTAACTAAGTCACAGCTGCGGTTCCCAGTTACACTACATGCTCAATGTGGTACAAAATAGGACTGTCTTCTATAAATGTGAAGTCAAGAGTGCTAGGATTTAAACTGTGATCCCATATAAGACATCGCTGTAGCTCATTACGGAGCCTCAGTAACGCTTAACACGTGCGTGTGCTGTCTGATGCTCTCGTGCTAAGTGATCATCACACGGGGCATTAGGAGCAACAGCACCTTTGAACTGCTCTGAAGGGAGGAGGCATCTGCAGCCCTCACTGCCTGCAGGGAGCTCGGGGACACCTCTAACAGGACCGGGTGCGGAACTTACGCGCTAGAAATAAAACTTGAAATATGCAGAACTGGTAAGTGCCCACCAGAGCTGGCTGGGGTGTTGGGGTGTCCCCTTAGAGAAAGGCACGTGTCTGTCCTGCAGCACTATTTACACCTTCAGCCCTGCTTCAGCAGCAGACCCAATGGGCTGAACGTTTGTGGAAGCCTTTCTCAAGGAGGTGCCCAGAAAAAAGATGTCCTAGACAAGTTGACAATGTGCTGCGGATTTTTCTTAGTGGTCATGAAGGAAAGGGGGGCCTGTGCTGTGTGTAAACATCAGGTTGTTGCTCCTTAAGCAAAGCCTGGGGCTCATCTGTCAAAGGGTTTTGTAGGTGGAGAGCTGAGTATTGTTGGAAACTTCCAGCAACAGGCCTGAGATACGGCTGCTAATTAAAACTGCTTCCAATCTGTGACCCTTAGTGCAGTAACCGGAGAGATTTGTTTGTTAAAGCAGTTATTGACCAAGGGAGAAGTGTCTTTTTTTTTTTTTTTCCCAATGCCAAGTTGTCCCTTTGCGGCTCTTTAGACAGGCAAAGGAATAGGGACACAGTGAATTTCAAGAAAAAGTAAAAATGCAAGTGTGTGTGGAAGGAGAGAGCTGCTGCTCCTGGAAGGGTTTCTGATCAAGAACATTTCAGATGCAGAAGGGGGCAACAAGGAAAGAGGGAGAACATCAACACGAACAGAATGACCCAAACCCGGCTGACAAGGGTGAGAGGCAGTAACAGAACCGGAGCTGGTCACTCCCTTTAATTGATAGAGGTGTGTGGCATGTGGTCGGGTTTGTGTTGGGAAGGTTTTCTGATCAAGGGCCTTGTCAGATGGCTTCTCAGGAGAAGGGGGAGGGGAGAAATGAAAGACAGAGGGATGGAAATCAGACAGAAAGACAACAAACCAGCCTGGTGGTGGTTGGTGGTGGTGGGTGGGCTCTGGAGAAGTTGAGCCGGGACTTGGCAGCGGACGAGGCTGGAAACTGGGGGGACCAGGCTGTGGTGGGGCCAGGCCCTGCGCAGGGGTCACAGCCCAGTGCCCGGTGCTGGCTGCGGGGGCGCGAGGGTCTGTGTCCTCCCCAGGCCGGGGGTGTGTGCGGGGTGTGCGTCAGCGCTCGACGGATAACCCCGAGGGAGAGGGAGGCCCAGGTCTGGGCTTGGGGGGTTCCCACGAGCATGGGGTGGGTGTGCAGCGAGCAGGGGACCTGCGGGGGGGTCGGAGGGCTGTGCTGTGCCGGAGGAGGCACATCCCTTTACTGCTAGTACAGGAAAATGTGAATGGAGATGCTGTCGCAGCGCTGATCTGACATGGGGTATGTGACCAGCACCTGAAGGAAGGATTTGTGTTGACAAAAACATACCTGACCTATTGTTTTAACAAATTATGGCTTAAAGCTTCATATCAGCACTTAAATACTGTCTGTACCAGGCTCTGGCTGCAGGGTGAGACTCCAGTTTGGGGTTTGATGTTGAAATTTGTGTCTCCTAAACATGACCTGGAAGTCAGCTGCGGACGCTGGAGCGCTGCGGTACTCTGCGAGCTCTGGTGCTTTTCGCTTGTTGCCTGAATACAAACTTTTCCCCGAGAGTTTGGCTTCTGCCTGGGACTTGGTCTGAATTGAAATAAGGGTAGGAGATGGAAGGGCTGATTGAACGGGGCATATTGATAACAGCAGAGCTGATCGCTAGTGTGATGTGTGTTTTATATGGCCAATCACAACTGCAAAGCCCAGGGGTTGAGGAATTGAAACACTCACTCGCTTTTGCATTTTGAGTTTTAATTTCAGGAATGACTACAAAAGCATCCTGGCATACCTGAACTGCTGCTGCTCAGAAGCACATTCTGTGTGAGTAACTATCGCCTCCCCATGGTGACAAGACTGACGTTGTGAAAGGACAAACAGTAATTAAGATGTCTTGTTCCTTCCTTCTTTTTAAGCTAAAAACAACTGGGAGATAATTGATTCAAGTTGTCTTACAAGCTCTGATGTGTGAAATAAGGTTCCTCTTCGTAGGCTGCCGTCCTGACTTTTTTTGCTAATATTCCTTGCTGTGAATGAATGACAGCTGGTGATAGGAATCAGAGTGGGCAAGAAGCAAGATTCGTTTGTGGGTTGTTGGTTTTTTTTTTTTGAAACCAGGCTGCTGCTACACTATCAGTAATTTTTTTTACTGAGATTGCTGGAAGTCTATTTCGGCTGATCTCAGGTGGAACTCAGAGTCAGAGAAACCCAAGGGTTAATAAATAAAGGAGCTGTGTGGATAAGGAGGAGCACGGGTTGTGTGCCAAGCTGGCTGCAGCCTCCGCACAGAGGAACGCGGGCCGGGAGGGTTGTCTGCCATCCCTGCATCCAGACACCTCGTGCAGGTCATCGGTCGGTCCTGAGCCCGCTGCTGCCCTACACCCAGGGGACTGTCCTCACCGTTCCCTTGGTGAGGAACCTCTTCAGTTTAAACTTTTGTGTTCATTATTATCTCGGCTTTGTCTGGGATAGTTTTTGTCCTACCTAGTGACCAGCACGCTGCTGTGCTGTGGATTCGAGAACAACACTGGTAACACACAGGTGGGTTGGTTCTTGAAGCTGCATTTACGCTGAGACAAGGACACGTCAGCTTTCTCTTGCTGCCAGGCCAGTGAGCAGGGTGGGGGTGCACAAGGAGCTGGACCCCAGCTGGCCAAAGGGGTGTTCCTGCCGTGTGCCACCACCTTGGGATGTAAGGCTGGGGGGGCAGGAGCGGGGGGTGATCAGAGCAATGGTGTTTTCTTCCCGAGTCACTGCTGTGTGTGACGGGGCCCTGCCCTGGGGGTGGGTGAGCACCTGCCTGCCCACGGCATGTGGCGAGTGAATTCCTGGTTTTGCTTGCACAGCTTTTCCATTACTTATTACACTGTCTTTACCTCAGTTTTCTCACTCCTGATTCTCTCCCCCACCTGCCCCAGGCGGGAGGGAGCGAGCGGCTGCTCGGGGCTGAGCTGCCGGCTGGGGTTCACCCACAGCAAGGGTAGGTGAACGTGAACGTGTTCCTGGTGTTGACCCTGAGTCTTAGCCCCCCACGACCCTACCGCTTCTCCAAGTGTATGAGTAGCCACGACATGCTGACATGTGTTTTGTGAGATTTTGTGGGCTCCTCACCCCAAAAAGGCCATTGAGTGACTCGAGCGTGGCCAGAGAAGGGCAACGGAGCTGGGGCAGGGTCTGGAGCACAGGTCTGCTGGGGAGCGGCTGGGGGAACTGGGGGGGTTCAGTCTGGAGAAGAGGAGGCTGAGGGGAGACCTCCTGGCCCTCGGCAACTCCCTGCCAGGAGGGGGCAGAGAGGGGGGATGAGTCTCTGGAGCCAAGGCCCCAGCGCCAGGCCCCGAGGGAATGGCCTCAAGCTGCCCAGGGCAGGGTCAGGCTGGCTCTGAGGAAGGATTTCTGTGCAGAAGGGGCTGTTGGGC